TTCGGATCTTGACTGCCCGTATGGGTGGGACCAGTCTGATATGCTTCAGATATGTTCTCTCTGTAATGGCACAAGATGAGCAAAAATCAGCTTGAGAACTGAGCGGGGACCGACCGAAGGGCAGGCTATTTCAGCTGCTGCACGTTCTCAGTATTCTCTTGCAACCCATTTTTGACTCTCCACAAGTTTAAAGGGATAATCCAGACATGGACCCCTTGCTCACGGTGCCTAAGGAAATATCAGATATGCCTCACTGATGATGCCTAACAAGGCTGAAACGATCGTCTGGGGTTGCTGTATCTCTCGTGCAGAGAGAACTTGCTGGCATTTCGGATCTTGACTGCCTGTATGTGGGACCAGTCTGATATGCTTCAGATATGTTCTCTCTGTAATGGCACAAGATGAGCAAAAATCAGCTTGAGAACGAGCGGGGACCGACCGAAGGGCAGGCTATTTCAGCTGCTGCCCGTTCTCAGTATTCTCTTGCGACCCATTTTTGACTCTCCCCAATGTATCAATTAAGCTTAACAAGCTCCAGGGTGGTCTCCGGTTCGTGCGGCTCGTCAGTAAACAAACCATATAATTCAAAGAGACTTTTATATCACAGTTTACAGGGTCCATAGTCTGTGGGCAGGAGGTTGGCAAGTAGGTCCCTCCGAGAACCAGTGACGAGGTTCAGTTCGTCACAGTGTACTATTGGCTCCATCCTTAAGGAGTTAAGATAAATAAGTTGCTTTCAAGTTGTTTATTGTCAGGATTACTAGTAGATCCAGCAAGCAGAATTATATCACATCTAGGACTTAAGGTAACGTCTTACCGGGCCTTAGAATGGCCGGACTTAACGTACCAGAGAATAGTCAGAATACTTGTCAGGGACACAGAAGGAGACACAACGATGATGGAAAGCCAAATATCAGGGATACCAGAATACAGGGTAGTTAAAACGAAGCCAGAATCAGAAACCTGAAATAAATGCTCAGGAACACACTCTTGGATAACTTCAAAGGGAAACCACGACAGGGCACTGATCAAAAGGTAATTTGGGTTTAAATAACCCTCCTAGATTTGTAATTGGCTTATTTGTGACCTCTGACCCCAAAACGTGCGTGCACGTCCATGACGCGATGCACGTAAGCGACATCTTTAATATGGGCAAGGGGTATTTCTTTAATAGAATTGGAACCGCAGTGGCCAGCGTCTCTGATAACCTTGCACACGCCGGGAACCGAGATGGAAGGAGGTCGGGTCTTGATCTGCCGCGGGTGAGGTGAGTGTTTGTTATTTCTGTCAGTGTGACCACTGGTTTTCAGTGCGGTCACGCTGACAGAAGCCCGCGGCACCGGGACACACTCTGGCTCAAAAGGTTCACCATCACTAATATAGGGCAAAGGGTATGCAACCTTCTGTTCTTGATTACATTTCCCCTGATGCTTTGCCAGCATTTTGGTTGTAAGAGTATTATGAGAGATGTAGTCCACAACATCTGGAGTGCTGGAGGTGGCCTACCACTAATAAAGGCTATCAGAAAGTTCTATCTGTTCCTTAAAAAACAATATATAACATTTATGAGTGTACTTAAAAGAAAGAGGGAATATAAAGTAGAACAAACAAATAGGAAAAGTGCAAAAAGAACTCTTATTAAATCAATGCGTTTCTATGGGGTTTTGAAGCAAAGCTGGAAGACAGGCACTAGAGGTTGTCTTAACCCTGCAATGTACACACTGCAATTTCACTGAACCTGTAATGTTGTCACTTGCAGGATTAAGGGGACCGGGTCATTTCAATTAGATCAAATGGTCTTGGTGTTCCTTTAACACAGGCCGAAGATAATCTCCTGTCTGAAATTGGCAGAATAACCCCTGGTTTAGGTCTAGTAATACTTCAAGCTAACAATATTCCTCAATATAGCAGCACTAGGGCATTTCAGTAAGTTACCTATAAAACCATATAAGGGGGTAACACATGGTTTGACTAAAATTCCATTTATAGCGTGTAGCAGGCTGGGCCGGGTCTTGGGTCATAAACAACAGAAACTGCTCTTTCTTCCAATATGAGGAAAGCTTTATTTAGCAAGCCAGCCCCAATTTAGCCACAGCAAAACATTAAACCAAAATAAACTCCTACTCCACACTGGAAACTTACTAAACATAGAGTACCCTCTCTATGCTACTGGGCAGCTAAGCTGACCCCAGTAGTTTAACAAATAAAAATAAAGGCTCACAAAATACATTTTTGTTCCCACACAGTTTCAGCAGTCTCTTTGACTCACAGTCTCTCTGTCTCTGTCCCAGCTCTTCACAGGAGAGACTTTAACCCCCTCTAGTCAGGGAACACTGAAAGTGCCATTCTGGGGCTCATCTTACTGTCCGCCCGCACCGCCCATGCATCACCCTTCTGTCAGTCCCTACATTGGCTTCCTGTAAGATATAGGGCTCAATTTAAAATTCTGGTTCTTGCTTTCAAATCTCTACATAATGCTGCTCCCACCTATCTATCCTCCCTTATACACAAGTATGTCCCGTCTAGGCCCTTACGCTCTGCTGAAGACTTACGTCTATCTTCTGTCCGTACTCCCACCTCTGATGCTCGCTTTCAAGACTTCTCGAGGGCTGCACCATTTCTGTGGAACTCACTTCCCTCCTGCGTTAGATGCTCATCCAGTCTCCACTCCTTCAAAAAATCATTAAAAACCCACTTCTTCATAAAAGCGTATCAATTAAACTGTTAATAGCTCCCGACTGATTCCTCTGTTGCAACTGTCATTAGTCTTATACCATCCTTACCTTTTTGTGTCATTTTACCCCACTCCCTCTAGCATGTAAGCTCATTGAGCAGGGCCCTCAACCCCTCTGTTCCTGTGTGTCCAACTTGTCTGGTTACAACTACATGTTTGTTCGTCCACCCACTGTAAAGTGCTGCGGAATTTGCTTGTGCTATATAAATAATAACATAATAATAATATAGCAGTGTTCCCACACTGCCACAAATGTTAAGATGCAAAGGGCAAATAACACATTTCTATATTTTATAAAATAAAAAAAATATATATCTAAACGTGAGTTAGAGTTATATATTTTGGAATAGAAACTGTTCTTTAGGTTTCCAAAATATACACTTCTGTCTGCCAAATCAGTCCTCACTGAATGTGCACAAAAGTTTACTTGATGTATCAAATTGTTTATTTGGTCAGTTTAAGAAAGTGTTCTGCATAGCCTATAAATCTTACTTTTCAACAACAATGTTTATTTTAGACTAAATAAATAGTTTTAAATTCTTTATTTATTCCACAGTAAGACCTGTAGTTGACACTACACTATGCAACATGTATATAATTATATAAACAAAGAACAATATCAATAAGAATTTGTCATGTCTGTTTTTTATGTTATAGCAAACACAGACTGTGATAAAACAGCTGAAAACTATCTCAATTAAAATATAATTGCGAGAACTGAACAACAAAAACTAAATGAAAAAGATTTTCAAAAGAGAGAGATAGCCTAGAGTGTTGGGGTAAACAGCTCCCAGGGATAGATTAACCCCTTAAGGACACATGATTCCCTTTTACTCCAGATGTTTGGTCCTTAAGGGGTTAAAATACAAGAGAGAACTGGAGCTGGGGAGATGGATTGGGAGCTAACCTGGCCAGAGCATACACGTTATTAGCCTTTATAGACCTGCAAGACGTGAAAAGACCATGTAGGTGCCGATAAATTGTCTTCATATTTTTCATTCAAAAAAAGATTGTGTTCTGAAGAGACCATGGGGTGTGCCTGGATATTTGTGTGTATTTCCATGCCTGGAAATCATAGCATTATAGGGTGTGCAAATAGTGGTTTATTAGCAAAGGAAACAAAGTAATTATAAAAATTACAAAAATATTAAAAACAGGGCAAGCCCCAACAGAATATATAACCAATAATTAAGTAACTTACACACTAGGAGCATGTCTAATTGCATGAGTAAATGGGACGATATTTGCAGGGTCCCACACCGGAGAAGTCACCACCATTTTTTAGGTTGAGAGATCAGGCCCTGGCTCAGATTAGACAGGTCAGCATCTATCTTTGACTCATCAGACACTCTGTGCTCTGTGTTGTATGGAATAAGAAGTGAGCGGGGAGTACCCCATCGGTATTTCAGTCCATGTGTGGAAAGGATAGCTGTGAGGAGACAGAGTGATTTTCTCCACTGCAGGGTCATGCATGAGAGATCTGAGAAAAGGTGAGCTACATCTCTTAAAATTTATGTTGACTGTTCACTCTGGTAACATTTAGTAAGGCAGCCTTATCTTGCCCATTTTGAAACATGATCATAAGATCACTGGAGGCAGAGGTGTTGTTCGACTGAGGCTTTGACAGGCAAAACATGTAATCTAGTTGAATATCTTTTGCTTGTTTAGTAGGTAGTAAGGCTATGAGTAGCCTATGTAGGAAGTGTGGCAGTTCGGTAACATGGTAACATCATCAGACAGCCTCTTATTTTTAGGTGTTTCCACCTTCTTTTATACTCCTTAGCTGCTAGTTGGTGTTCATGAATTGCGGGGTAAAGCTAAATAGGAAAGTTTAAAGGAACTTAACATGTATAGCTTGGAGGAAAGACGAGACAGGGGGGATATGATAAAATATATACATTTAAATATATAAAGGGAATCAACACAGTAAAGGAGGAGACCGTATTTAAAAGAAGAACAACTACTACAACAAAAGGACATAGTCTTAAATTAGAGGGGTAAAGGTTTAAAAATAATATCAGGAAGTATTACTTTACTGAGAGGGTAGTGGATGCATGGAATAGCCTTCCAGCTGAAGTGGTAGAGGTTAACACAGTGAAGGAGATTAAGTATGTGTGGTATAGGCATAAGGCTATCCTAGATATAAGATAAGGCAGACTAGATGGGCTGAATGGTTCTTATCTGTTGTCACATTCTATGCTTCCATCTGGGTTCTTGCTAAGGTTAGATCACAAATTTGCTTCTGCAGGTAAGAGAGTTGTGCTCTGCAGGTCAGTGAGTCACTGTAGTCTCCTCCATCATGATAAGTCTTGCTGTAAACCCCCTGACATCCTCTCACACTTGGGATATCTATGTTAATACTCTGACAAACATCTGCCAGGAGGCTTGTGAGAATGGCTGCATTACTGAGCTAGAAGCCCCTAAACCGCCTGGTAGGATTTAGAGGGTTCCTGAAAGCCTAAATCAGGGGTGCCCAAAAGATACATCCCCAGATGTTTTAAAACTACAGCTTCCATGATGTTTTGCATTTATAAAGGCATGCAAAGAATCACAGGATTTGTAGTTTTACAACATCTGGAGATATACCTTTTGGGCATTCCTGGCCTACATTCTCTATCTTACATAAAAGCAGATCATCGGTGGCGTCCAAGAAGTCTCCCGAGTTTTGATGCCATGTCAGGCCTACTACTGCAATGCGGCCTTCGGAGCAAGTCGCCAATCAGCATAAAACCTGGGCTGATACGACTTTGGTTTCAGAGTCTTTCGCCACATAGCACATCTGGGCTACAAGGATGCCAAAGATTCCCCATGAAGAACTCTACTTTTTTCAGTTTTAGTCTGTTTAGATGGAGCCCCACAGGGATGCGACTACCTAGGTCGAGAGCTAGCCTTACATACATTTTTATATACAACTAAGTTTACTGCTTTAATTATGTGTGAACTGACTTTATGTAACGTTTAGTAATTTTGAGTGCTTTTCTCTATGCCTGAGTGCTCTCAGGGAAATGTACCTGTTTTGCAATCACTACAAGGTTAAACCAGTTACATAAATGTATATGTGTGTGTGGGACGGGCTTTGTGTGCTCAGCAGATTTCCTTTGAGAAATTCACATTAACAGGAATTGGTTACTGATTAACCCCTGCAGTGCCAGAGCAACTGACTGGCAATGATGTGCTTTGCAAGGACACCTGTTGTGAGAGGGGGGTTGTCAGGATCACCCTGCTATTCCAATGCTTTTGTGCTATAAAAGCTGACAAATAGATACATAGATTTACACAAACAATTACACATTAAGTAACCTGCACACATAATGACAGGTAATGCAGATGTTTCTCTAAGTGAAGCGATCTCTCCAGTGTTTTAAGTCTCGGTGCATCACTAATGTTAGCATTTATTCTGCTTTTCTACCAACTCTTTTTGACTGCTTGTCCTTCTTTTTGCATTTTTCTCTTTTTTTGTGTGATCTTGTACTGTAATGTGATCTCTCCTATCTATCATACTCTTTTCTCTCAATTCTATTTCCTCTTTTTGCCTTCCTGTCTTTTACCAAGTTTCCCTTCTTTTTCCCATTCCCTCCAATCTCTCTTTCCTACCTTCTACCCACCTCTACAACGTTTTACTTTTTTTTTCTATTTTCCCTCCCTTCCCCTCTCTCCTGCCCTTTAAGTTTCACCATACTATGAACCCTTATCAAGTTGAACTGTAAGCTAGTCATAGCCAACAGCAAACAGACACCATACACAGTACTGAAGAGCCTGATTCTACTGGATAGACAGACAAGCATTTCACAGGAAGGCACAGGGTTCACAGAGACGTACTCTGTAACACAGAGGCTTTGGAAGCCAGAAGCACAGACAAGTATATCACAGTGATATATGGTGGATACATAGTAGAGAGACATACATAAATTAAATAGAACAGAAATACAGATATATGGAAAGATACACTCATGCATATTTCTAAACTGACGCAAGAGCCACAGTATTGAACACAAACTGGGATCGCCATCTATATGACTTGTGGACAAACCAATATTTCGCCAGAATGGAGCAGCTCATTTCTCAGGAGGTAAGGTGCTATGTGAAGATGGGTTTGAAGGATCCAGATTACTGAGGAGTTAAGGGGCTTGAGACCAGAATCCCAGGTTCTTTATGACATTGACTATTACTTTGCTGCCTTACCTGATGCAGATTCTATCACATAACCTAAGCCAGGGGTGCCCAAAAGATCGATTCCCAGATGTAGAACTACAATTCCCATGGTGCTTTGCATGCCATTAGAATGACAAGTCACCACGGAACAAACATCTGGTTATCACCGTGTTATAACATTGTAACAAATAAAAAAAACTCACAGGCACTCCAAGTGTAAAGCCGCAGGCAGGTTTATTGCAACAAAGTGCACCGCAACGTTTCGACCACATGGTGCATTTTGTTGCAATAAACCTGCCTGCGGCATTACACTTGGAGTGCATGTGAGTTTTTTTATTTGCCTTATCGTGTTGGGATTGCTGGTCCTGCTCCGGAGCACCCGTGGCCGCTGGAAATGAGTGCGGTTCCTGCCATTAACTTTGCTATAACATTGTAACAGGCATGTTCACACTGCATGCGTATCTCATGATATAGGTTTCTGGGGGGAAAGGTTTGCACTACTATTGCATGTACAATATGCCTGATGTGATACTGACATGTATGATGCTCATATGATGCTGATGTGATACGGACATGTATGATGCTCATACATGTGAGTAGTGGCACAGTAATCTATCATTTTCAAAGCTCTCTCTTTATATACTTCACTTCTCTATTTTTTAGAGGGATTGTCTGAAAATCCTGGGCAGCTAGTGGGGATGAGATCTGTGCACAACACCATGTGAAAAATGTAGTTACAGTGCTAGGTGTGCCCTGGCACCCTCCCATTGTAAATAGTCAAACCGTTTTAAAATGGTTTGAATTCTTACCTGGGGTAACACCAGGCTCTGCTCCTCAATGCCTGCGTACTGTAGTGATTTATGGTGCTTGGAGTGTGCTTTTAATGCTCCCATTCATTATGCAAACCCTATATATGTGTTAACACTGTGAGAAGAAATGTGATGCCAAAGGCAATGCTGTATATGCTTGCCACAATGTAACATTACAATAATGTTTATACACGCAGCTTTGTGATAGATTGGCAGCACCACTACATGCATAAGTTTTATGATGTAACATTGTGAAAACTAGCCTTACCAATTCATCACGTGTATACTTGCACAATGAAATTGTGACAGGACTGGGCCTTGTCGTTCTGTCAAGATGAAACATTAAAAACAGAAGTGGTGGAGTTGGAAGTTGGTCTGGTTAGTTGAAGTGATTCCAGGACCTGTATGACTAATCAAAAGAGAGAGAGAGAATGATGGTTATTGACTGGAAAAGGTAAACTACGAGTGTAACAACTGTAGTACCAGACGGAAACTCTCATTGCTGCAGGTTCAGTTTCTGAAAAAATTTACTTAGCCTTTCAACCATCTGATGTCAACCGAACGAGTATTATTAAAGGGGACCTGTCACTTTTCTGAAATGTGCACTCTTGGATAAAACAATGAAAACAATCTATAACTTGTGCTAACCTTTTTTATGCTCTGTATAGGGGGGTGATGGTGTGAGGGAGGGGTGGTAATGGTGTGAGGGAGGGAAGGTGATGGTGTGAGGGAGGGGGGTGATGGTGTGAGGGATGGGGTGATGGTGAGGGATGGGGGGTGATGGTGTGAGGGATGGGTGATGGTGTGAGGGATGGGGGGTGATGGGTGAGAGGGAGGGAGGTGATGGTGTGAGGAGGGGGGTGATGGTGTGGAGGAGGGGGGGCAATTGTGGAGGGGTGATGCCAGAGGAGGGGAGGTGATGGGAAGCCCAAGGAGTCAGACAGATGGTGTGAGGGACATTGAGAGGAGGGGGTGATGGTGAGAGGGAGGGGGCAATAATGTGTGGGGAAGTGATGGTGAGCGAGGGGGGTGATAGGAGGAGAGGGGATGACAAGGAGGAGGGGCAGGATGGCAACAAGGCGGATCAAGGAGAGGAAGTGGGCTTGATGGTGTGGAGGGAGGGGTGGTAATAGTGTGAGGTAGGGGTGGTAATGGTGTAAGAGAGAGGGGTATTTGTGTGAAGGGGGGGGTGATGGTGTCAAGGAGCCGGGTAAAGGTGAGAGCGGGGTGATGGTGTGAAGGAGGGGGCTGATAACATTGAGGAGGTAAGATGGGTGAGGAGGGAGGCAATAATGTGTGGAGTAAGTGATGGTGAGGGAGGGGGGGGGTGATGGTGAGAAGGAGGGGGGGTGATGGTGAGAGGGGGTGATATTGAGAGTGGAGGGTGGCACGGTGAGAGGGAGGGGGGGGGTGGCCAATGTGTGGGAGGTGATGGTGAGAAGGAGGGGAAGACAGGCAGAGGGGGGCTGATGGTGAAGGAGGGCGGTGATGCAGGAGGGAGGCGGCAACGGTGAGGAGGAAGGTGATGGTGTGAGGGAGGGGGGGTGGATGGTGAGAGGGGGGTGACATTGAGAGGGAGGGTGGCAATAAATGTGTGGGGGGGATGGTGAGAAGGAGGGGATGGTGATAGGGAGGGGGCTGATGGTGAGAGGAGGGTGGTGATGGTGGAGGAGGGGGTGGCAATGGTGAGGAGAAGGTGATGGTGTGAGGGAGGGGGCATGGCCTATGGGGAGATGGGGGCACGCCAGTGAGGGAGGGGCGGGATGGTGTGAGGAGGGGGGGTGATGGTGAGAGGGAGGGGAGACATGGTGTCAAGGAGCCAGGTGATGCAGTGAGAGGGGGAGGGATGGTGAAGGAGGGGATATTGAGAGGAAATGGGGGTGATGGTGAGAGGGAGTGGGGCAATAATGTGTGGTAGTGGGGGGTGAAGGTGTAAGCGAGGGGAAGGCTGATGGTGAGAGGAGGGGTGGTACAGTGAGAGGGAGGGGTGGGGATGGTGTGGAGGGAGGGGGTGATGGTGTGGAGGGAGGGGGGTGATGGTGTCAAGGAGCTGGGTAAATGAGGGGGTGATGGTGAAGGATGTGGTGATATTGAGAGGAGGGATGATGGTGTGAGGAAGGGGTGATGGGTGAGTGGAGGGGGTAATGGTGAGAGGGAGGGGTGGTAATGGTGTGAGGAGGGGTGGTAATGGTGTGAGGGGGTGGTGGTGAGAGGTAGGGGGGTGATAGTGTGAAGGAGGGGGGTGATAGTGAGAGGGGGGTGATATTGAGAGGGAGGGGGGTAATAATGTGTGGTCCGGTGGTGATATCCGTTCTGCAGCTCTGCAATGTGCAGAGCTGCAGACCATATCTCGCTGACCGAGGACCCGACACAGCTGCCTAAACCACTAAATTAGACAGCCACCTGCGGACGTTTTAAAAATAACTTAGGGCGGCCTGGGGGGCAATTGCCTCCCTGCCCCCTGTCCCAGCCCGCCCCTGACCACGGCTGTCAATCAGACAACATGTTCGGTTACTCCCTGCTTTGGTTAGCTCAGTGAAGTAAAACTCAAGAGGCAGCAATTGC